TTGACCACCTAACATACCGATTTTTTTTAAGTTACTCAGTTTGCAAACCCTTACACTAGGACGTTTCAGCCGCTCTCGGATCCCTTACTTTTGGTCCCATCAGATTTAAGGAAGGAGGTTAAGAAAGGCGCGCCGGGAAAAATCAATCCCAAACCGCGAGTTTGCTAGTCCATGTCCCTTTCTGCCATTTCCTCGAAGGGTAAATTCTTTTAGAAGCATTACAGAGGTACAAAATCAGTTAATTTATCTGCATTACTATACTTAGAAGGTAAATGCAATAATAGCAATCCAAACATAATTGCCAAACCCGACGTTTAACTGTACATAGATCAAAGGCCAAGTAAGGAAGCAATCGTCCCTTTTTGATATTGTGAATCCTAACGGGATGACCTTTACACCCATTTATTAACATGATTTATGTAAATAGATAAGAGCGGTAATCCGTTTTAATAGAATTTAAAAATCTCATTCTTTACTTAGACTTAATACCAAGTTCTTATTTGTGCTGATGGCAACGCAATTGCTATTTAAAAAATTTTTAGTAACTAACTTGGAATTTACTATTTCCGTGAGGATGCATATGGTCAGAGGTGGTTCCTGAAGAACGTTAGTATTGCCTATCGGTATTATGACAACATGCATTGAGGGGCTGGTTCAGCGTGAACAGTCTGTTAAAAATTAAGCTAATAACTTACCAAACCACGTTCATTATAGTAAGTAATACTATAGTTCAAGGGTGGTCAACCTTTTTGCTTTAGAGTGCCACTTTTTCATTTCGTTTTTTCTTTTAAAAAATCATGCATATGTCCACCCTGTCTTACGATCTCATCTACATCGAATAACAGTAAAAAAGTTAATATTTCTTAAATTTTTTAGGTAAACGATTTTTTGTGACTGATTTAATTATAAAATGTAAGAAGCAAAACACTATCCTAGTTGTTCTACCAAATTTAACCTTAAACTAGATTTACTACCATGAACTACCAGAAAACCGCAATTTTAAACACAGATCACTCTGTCACATTAGGGGGTTTTGGTTTATGATAAAAAACAGCAATTTTTTACAATATTGAGAAACTTGCACTCAAACATTTCTGAGGCCTTTGAATTTGCTTCATCAGTATATCAGTATCTCAGTGTTGGGATCTATTGGTGAGAACCCAAGAAGAATGAGATTATTCTAAAATTAGTCGATTAATTCTGCGCGATATTTGTATTTTAATAAAATTTATAGTTGACAATCTTCGCACACAAATAAAATGAGCTAAATAGCAAGAGTAGCGGAAAGTAAAATCATTTAAATTTGAAAAATCTGCCTTGGATGCAATTTTTCCCAAACGAGAAAAACTCTTACTTGGATGGGCTTCCAAAACTTCCACCTGGAGCTAAGCTATAGAAATAGTAACTTCGGTAGATAAAATTAAAAAAGACTTTGTGAAAAGCTGCACAAACTTAACAACCTCTAAAAATCGGTGAATCTTTTTTTTTCAAAACGATTCTTTCAAGAGGGAAACTTGGTTTCTAAACTTAGATCTTGAATTTTTGTTTCTGCCATAAATTCCTGCATTTGGGTAAAATGGTGCAGTTAACTATTACCCTATTGTTCTTCCAAAATTAAATTTAAAAGGTTGAACCAAACCGAACAAGGTTGGGTTTTGCCTTATAAACGCTCATTTTAAATTATGTAAATGACCCATAACATCTGTTATAAAAGCCAAGTTCCACAAAGAATATTTATTTTTAAAAAGTAAGCATTCACCGGGAAGTTGATCACTGCCTTCTATATATCTTAAAACAAAATTTCTTTAAATTTCAAAATCTTTCTCCAGCTTGACCTCAAGATAGCCAACGAACAGTGCCATGTAGTAGTCATTTTGATAAAAAATTTCTGTATTTTGAGAAATTTTCGGATGCTTGTTCAAAGCCAGCAGGCAGTTTAAAAAAGATGAACTTCGTCATATGTTCGAAGGTCTTTTAACTGTTAAGAATACGAGACCCGTTGCATTTATAAAGTGGAAGTCTTCAGTAACTTCTTCAACTATACTTAGTATTTGTAGTACTGTAGAGCGTTTTCCCCTAAAGTCATAATGCTCAGAAGATAGCACATCTATCTAAGGGCAGATTCTTTGCGTTTAAGAAAAAAATTACTTTTTTATAAATTTTTTCAAAACAAGACAACGCATGTATGAGAAAATAATCACTAATTCGTATCTAAAGGAAGAGTACACTCAGGAAGCATTCTTTCACTACGATTTTCCATCTATCTACAGAACACTCCTAGAAGAGAGCCCAACTAATTACGTTAGTGACCCGCATCAAGCTAAGTCTTTTAATAATTTAAAAACTTTGTTCGATTTGTTATACCATCCAGCAGCTCTCTCTTTTAACCAAGGTCTTTAAAAAGCCTTCCGTTTTCTTTAATATAATTACAAAACTACAAATAAAAAACTCTCCGGCAAACTTTCAATTTTTAAGTGGTTTTCGTTTCTACGAGTATTGATCTGAAAAAGTCTGCTTGATATTTAGCAAATGCAGTTGCTTTTTCTTGCTCCTTCTTTTTTCGACTTCGGCTCTTTGCAATTCGCACTTTTTATTAAAGGTACACTATTAAATTAAGTGTTATTAGTACTCTTTTTAAATCTTCTTCAGAGCATCGTTTATAGCGTTCTACATATGAAAGTTGCTGTTGTCCACTCTTCTACTTTATTAAAATTACATTTGTCTAGATTCTTTTTATTTATAATTCATTCTTGGTCACCCTCGAAATTAACCGCAACTCCAAAAGAGGACGCTCTTTCTGTTGGGTGCGATTAATTCGTTATAAGAGTTCAAGATCGAGAGTCGCTCCAATGAGGCATACGACTTATCGGGAATAAAAACTTCCTTGCTTCAAGTGCGAATAAGAAACTGCTGCGTCTTTTAACATGCGCGCCGTGGTTTCTGTGCAGTGATACACTTCATGACGAACTACAGATTGAGCTGCTAGCCATACTCCGCGAAAATAATGCTGTCGCCCCTCTACGAACGGATAGCTGGACACGCTTATCGCCTTTTAACGGCATAACTCACTTACAAGTTGTGGGGAGTCGCGCAATACCGCCGTCCGCGCGACCCATCTCAGCATGTCGGCTTAAGGCGAAGTTGGGGGTTTAGAGCTAGCTAGTGTATTCGAAGTTGTTAAATCCATAAGCACCAGGAAACATATTTTTAAAAAAAATTAAGTCAAACCCAACGCATTCTGGAAGGCCGCTTTAATTGAATAGGAACCCTTAACAATTCTAAAACCACCGGGTTTTGGTCAGACCGTAGTTCGTAATAGTTAAATTGTAGTCAAAAAAATATTATTTTTAGTAGCTATATTTTTATACCTTCGATGGATGTACAGTTGAATAATGTGTAGACTCTGAGGGTCTAACTACACAGCTAAGTGAATTCTAAACGCATACTTTTATTAAAAACATCCTTTGGAATTTGCCTTTTTGCTTCCAAGAGGAATGTTCTGAATTAAAATCTCCTGATGCAATAGTTGAGGCATTATTTTTATTATCATATCAAGTGACGTACAAGTTAAGTTCTTATCAGGGGGTTTATATACCGCAGTTACATCAGTTTTTCCGTATTCCATTATCCTCAAAATTATAGTTCAGCTCAGCGTAAGAATTGTACAATTAAATTAAAAGGGCCGTTTCGCTCCCTTTGCTATTATTTCTAGCGTTGCGAACTAGAGCAATATCTAATATTCGGTCTTTCAATAAATTCACGAAATCCTCCAATTTTGTCTAAGATTTCATGAGTTTCCAGAAAAGAATTTTTAGGGTCGTATGTAGACGTTTATTTTGTGCAACTGGGAATAAGCTGTTACAACTTTTCTTTTGATTTGCCAATTGCGCGGCGAGTGCCCTAACGAGATTGTTTTAGTCCGCTAGGGATGGTCATTTTATTATTAGGAATTACTAGTAACCTGCGCATATGCCTCAGAGTTTACAGAATAGTCCACTTTCTTATTTATGGGCTTCAATTTAGTTATATATTATTTTCAGAACTTTCTTTCATGATTACATATATGACCTCGCTATCAATTCTTATTAAATTGAGATTTAATTTTCTTAATTGGAGGAATTTATGACTTAAAATATGCAAGCAAATATATAAATTTTTTAAAATGTACAAACTTAAAATCCAAAAGTACTTATACCTCCTCACGCTCGCTTTTTAGTTAATTACATTTTATGTGAGACCTCTTTACCAGGTATGCTTGAGCGCGCATCCCCAACACAAATTCGGTTGAGAATTTAGTTCATTTTGTTTTGCAACTGCTTTATAATAAATACCGTACAAAGTAAAGCTTTACTGCAGTACTTTTTAGGTGGTATAATCGACGCAGTATGCAAAGCGCCGCTGGACATAGCACCCCCTTAGTCGGCAGGGTTTTCACCTTTCATGGTGCGAAAAAAAAATAGGTTAACAGCAATTCGATTTGAGACCGTGTTTAATTTGGTATGCAGAACTTCTACCAGCTCTATTTCCAGACATAAATAGTAGTTTATTTGTAGCCTTCGTTATTTGGAAAGAACACATTTTAGGTAAACATTTGATTTCTCTTTTATAATTATTCAATTAACGGTAATGTTTTCACCTCTCATAGTCTCTTGGCTCCATTTTTGGGTATCACCGTAGAAGAGTGGTCCAGTAGTCTTTCAAAGTGAGCCATGCTGGAAAACGGCCTAAATTAAGCGCTAATTTCAACCTCTCATCACCAGCTTAATAAATTCGCATGTTTTTTCTAATGCAAACGTTTTTTATGCAAACAATGAACTACAATACTTTCTCAATAATATAACGTGCTTCACGGCTAGGCCAGATATACTCGAAAAAGAGGAGCAGTCAATTTTATTTAAAAGCCCGTAGTTTACTTACTCGCGTCTCTCAAGTTAATTTAAGGTTTACTATAATAGTGGCTATCAAAGACAACGACAAGGCCAAAGGGGCGTAATCGTTGTTTCTGCATATAAGACCCCATACTTGAATTACCTTTTGTTACCAGCAATACTAGTCTAAGATCCCAGTGATGACCTTGTAGGGACCGTCGAAACATAGCTCAATAAAGTCGTTGGAAATATATATTTTTTTGATTCCTTTAAATTTACGAATATAAACTGTTTAGTATGCTCCTCATTAAACCTGTTTGGGTTCACCACACCAAGGGTTAGATTCTCTTTTGCTCTTTATAACCCAACTTATTTTTATTAAACCTCTTATCCTATATAAAATTTTTTAATACTGGCATACGAGAACTTCTTCTGTAAAGCTGGCGTCGGTTGTCTTTAGGACGTTTAATTTTCTTGTAAATAAGAACTAGTGATTATATAATTAACTATTAAATAATTTTCAAAGTATTTAAATTTTGATTGTTAAAAGGTACTCCGATTTATTCTATTCATTGGCACCCTGACAACCAAAGATTTGTTACCGCCGGTGACTCTGGTCCTCCATTTTTTTTTCAACACTTTGTTGTTTTGATAAACACTTACAGTCAAAGTCTGGAGCGTTTTATCATTATTTAAAGAGAGTACAGATAAAGATGAAAAGGGACACAAGCTTTTGTGTACCATCTCCTACCACATTGGTGACTGCAACTTTTTAAAAAAGAATTTATTTTTTGAAGCCCTTTTTTGTTGCTCAAAGGTTCTGTTAACTGTGCACGGTTTTCGGTCGACGGCCGTTTTCTTGCTACTGGAGGAGACGACAAGTCTGTAATCCTGTGTGAAGTGAAGTAATAATGAATATTTTTATACTATTAGCTAATCTATTCTTCTCTCCAACCCACTTTTTAGCATTTATATGTTACACATTTGATAATTATTTTTTTTTGCTAAGAACCGGCTATGCTACCAAAGTTTTTGGCTCAAGTGACAAAAACTATGAAAACTGGGTTATTCGGAAAACTTTTAAAGGTCATAGCGCAGGTTCTTTTGGTGAATATATATGTGGAGATTTTTTGAAACTACTAAACTACCCCGTTATCCCTACTTTATTCCGTCGCACTATTTTTTCTTAGTTTAGAATTTATCGAATTCAGTTAATTTTCGGTAATCCACAGCTTGCGCTTTAAAATTATGTTTTTTAAAGTTCCCTATACAAGCCTTTTGGCGTATGTGCTATGGTCTGTCAACTTTGTTCACAACTTACTTTATAACTTTAGGGTACACTATAGGCTCACAACTTTCTATGAGCAGTCAGGCTACGTTAATAAGGAGTTACTGTAAAATTGGCAAAACTTTTTGTTTTCCTTTCTGACTCCCCTTTTACTTTTCGCTGTAAGATGTCGTTGATTTGGCTTGGAAACCCAAAGGAGCGCCCCTCCTTGCCAGCGCTAGTTTGGACAGCACCGTAATTGTTTGGAACTCAGCAACTTTGGGTTCTCGATTTTTCTATATAAACTACCGCTTCTATGTTGATTGCTCTTGCGTAGTTGGTTAGAGTTCAGCAAAAGCATTTTTGCTTGAAGTGCTACTTGTAGTAATTTAACGTTAGCAGCTTATTCGTTTCACTTTTTAGAGCAACAAGCAGTTTTAAGAGGACATACGAACATGGTTAAGGGGGTTTCCTGGGACCCAATCGGGGAGTTCATAGCCACGCAGGTGATCACGGCGGAAGCAGTTCCTCTAAAAAATATTTTATTCAATATATGCAGTCGGACGACAGAAGCGTTATTATATGGAGAACGCGCGATTGGAGCATCGAAGCTCGAATCACTCGTGGTTTCGAGAATACCTCGTCGTCTACTTTTTTCCGTCGGCCAAGGCAAACGATCTCCCAGTCCACATTTTTCCAGATCTTTTTTTTCATCTCCTTCTGTGCAGTTGGTCACCTGATGGCTCTTATATCGTTGCTGCTCACGCTCGGAAGGACAAACTTCCCGTGGCAGCTGTAATAAAAGTAATTACTGTATGCATACTATCGTTACAATTTTGAGTAAACATATATTAGAGGAACTCATGGGCGCTTGCTTATGGATTTGTGGGACACGAAAGACCCGTTTCGGTTGTGGTAAGCAAAATATTCTGCTGGCTTGGGGGGCGCTCATCCCTCCGTAGTCCTGGAATAGACACTTTTACAACGCAGTGGACAAGCCAACCGCCTACTGTGCCGTTGGGGGGCAAGACAACGCTCTGACCATCTGGTCCAATCGGAAGGCCAGGGCAGTTGTCGGCGCCAGAGACATCTTTGCAGACAGTATTGTTGATCTCGCCTGGTATGGCCGTAGCCTTGAACGGCACACTCCCTTTCAGGGTTCCTTGCCAGGTAGGTCGGGCGAGGGGCTTAATCTTCTTTGCTGCTCCCTGGAAGGGTCTGTGGTGCTTTTGAGTTTTGAAGAAAAAGAGTTGGGAAGAAAGCTTTCACCCAAGGAAGTGGTAATAAGCCGTTTGCTCCGTTTAAGGTTTGCTGCCTCTAAACGTAAAAGCAGGCAGTTTTTTTACGAGGGCCCCAGGAAGACCACGACTCGTCTCCACAGCAACTTTTCGAAGGAGTGCAGTCAATCGCCTTCCCGCCCGGGTTTCGTTCGAATACTTTCCTAAAACTGTCCGTGTTACATAAAGTGCACTTAAGAAAAGCGATAAGCACATGCTGTTAACTCAGGCAAGGAGTACCTGCTAAGCAAGTCGAAACAACTACAAGTGATGGGCGAAGGCGAATTGCTCCCACCAGAATTTCTACGTGCGTCCACTTGGATCTTTGTCATAGATATTTTTTGGCTTCAGTATTTCTCAAAAGTTTTTTTCGTGCATTCTCATTCCCATTTTCTTTCATATAAAGTTGTCAGCAAGTTATACCCAGCTTGAACAGTCATAATGAGACCCTCAATGAAGTATAATTATAAGAAGGCTTCCTTGCTATAAGTTACTCTGTCTTTGTCTCTCTCGTAGGCGAGACCCCTTATAAAAAAACTTTCACGCAGACTTGTCTCCTGTGACTCAAAAGGTTTTTCTTTGAACCAAGTTTTTCTTTTCTTTTTATCGACATGAAAAATTAGAAATAAAAAAACACAAAAGTGAAATCGATAACGAGACGGCCGTGAACACTCCCGCGGACTTTCAGCCTGAAGACGAATTGAGTGCTAGCGAGCTCAAGTATTTTAATATAGCGTAACTTTACATAAGCAAGCAAGTTCTTATATCCTCCTTTTTTTGAATGTCACAAGAAATTCTTCACGGCTGAAATCTCGAAGCGCGGCGCACATCGTGCCTGTACTCCGCTGATTTCGTTTTTTGCTCATTTCCTGAGCTTGCTAACTTTCTTTTTTGAGCTTCCAAAACGAAAACAATTGTTTCCTCTGCCGCTCCGTCAACGCTGTATATCGACGCGGTTAGTTCTTTTCGCTCGTGTAAAAAAGGTTGGCTACTCATAATTTTTAAAAAGTATAATTAGTGGAGAGCACGAATTGCTATTTGAAGCACAAAACGAGCTAATGCATGGAGGTGCCTTACATCCAACCCCTTTCACCCACCCCCCCTCTTTTTTTTTGCCAATCCCTCGTCGGTTCACAGGTTGCAAAATCTGCAAACTCGTGGCTAGACGCGGGAGTTCCGTGGCATGGACAGCCCTCCTCGATGAACCCTGTACACATATGCTGTGCAGTTAGATTTTTACCCTAGAGCGCTACCATTCAAACGGCAGGCAACCTCTTGACCTGCTCAAAGTTTTTTGTTGCTGCTGCATGTAGAAACGCCGTTTGCGTTTACAACACGCAAGGAAGGCTGTACATTTCCGTTTATTTTTCGTGTCTTTTAAGTACTGATTTAATTTGTTCAAGGGCGTTGCCCCAGTTTTATATGGAGTCTCCCGCTAGTTTCCTCCATGCGACCAATGAGTATCTGCTCATCATAACTGTTAATGGGCGTTGCTCCGTTTGGTGCGCTTCTCACTCAAAAGTTCTTCATTGACTTGTTTGATCGAAGGCTGTTCTTCCTCAGGAACGTGCTGCAGGGCGCCGCAGTGCTCAGAAGGGTGCCAATGGACCACCTGTGTTACCAAAATAAAGGCGCCGCGCTTGAGCAAGAGAGCATCGAAGGAGAATCCGCTCTTCTTTCTTGCCTGATCACCCCTAAAGGGATGCCCGCCATCATTACGTCTGCCCTGCATGCATATCTTTATGACAATGAGCTGGGTAAGTATTATGACCGACGATTCCTTTCCTTACCATTATTGAACTGTTACGGCAGGTGCTTGGATATTGGTAGCTCGCGAGGACGATCCTATAACATCATCATCTGATTTCTACAACTCCTTCCCTCCATTAGTTTGTCTTTGAATTTTCAATAAAACCAATGAACTTCATAAAGTGTGTACGGTTTATCTAGCGCTCTTCCGAAGAGGCCGCTGGACAATACGCTACTTTTGATCTCATTACCAACGCGCTTAAGCGGTTCCTCTACATTTTTGTAGACACTTCTTTTTTTTTTATGCTCCGGTTAAAGATTTTCTTGGAACTCTTACTTGAGCCGTCGGCATGAGCATCACCTACTGCAAGTAGACCAAAAGCACCAACTACTCGCTACACGCTTTCACTTGGAGGTGTTTTCTCCTCCTCACTGCGAGTACTGTTTAGCACTCCTCACTTTTTCTGCAACTCGAAGAAACAAGTTGTCTTGTGCTGGCGCTATGGGTCTTTAGACGAGGCTTGTGAATGGACAGAAAAGTACTTGCGGTTTTTGCTTTCTCTCGGAGACGTGGACCGTATACAAGACCTCTTGAATACCATTCGCATTCAAAGCAGGTTCGTTCCTTCCTTTCTGTTTTCTTGTTAAAACTTATTGACTCCGTCTTTTGTTTTTTTTTTTCATATTCTATAGTAATGACCGCGACATGCCAACTTGTAAGTGGAGACAACTCCTCGCGTATCTTGTTCCCGTTTTAGGTTATTAAAGAAACCGTATTCGTCGCACCCACAGAGAAGATGGTAACAGGTGTTAAACGTAGGCAGCAGCCGCGAGCCACACGTGCGCCGGCTAGTCAGCGTGTTTCAAGAAGCCATCAGTGATCTCGAGAAACCCACGTGGTTTCGCTAACAACGCTTATTATTCTCCGTGCCGTTCTTCGCGAGTACAATAAGTGTTAAAATATACAGCAGTGGTTGACTGCGGTTAAAAAAAATCTTTGTAAAGTAATAAATTTTTTAATGTTTTATTAACCTTTAAAGTGCTTTATCATAAACTTATTTATCTATATATATATATATATGCTCACCAAAATTATAAGAGTTTGTAATTGTTTCTTATTTACATTTATATCAGAAACGGCCAGGCCTCATAATGTCCAAATTTAGCCAAAAATTGACCACATCATAAAGTTTTAATCAAAAGCAGTTATTTATTGGAGCTTGACACACAACACCTTCACTTTATACCGAATGTGGTTGATGGCGCAAAAGCGAGAATTGATTAGCACTATCAGCAAAGGTTTTAAGGCTGTAGTGCCTAAACAATTAACATTATATCATGAACATCACATAAAGATCTACCGTACCTGCAAAGACTGAGTATCGCTACCCAGGTGAATATATTTCTCAGATCCGCTTGCAGCGTCGTCTATAATGACTGCTACTTAACTTTAAGTGATTCAAGTCAAGCTCTTTTATTTAGATAAACCGATAATATACATGTCGTAGAGCCATGATCGTTGAGGAATCAGGTCGTTATTCATAACGTTTACTTAATCGAACGAATATGCTCTAACTTAAGTCTAACCGCCTAAATTAAAGTTTATCAATTTAATAAAAAGCTTGTTACAGCTGAAAAGATACATTCTATGTTGTATGCGACACTTTTTACTGACGTCAATTTTGTAAAGTGCGACTTCTTGTGAAGAACAGCTGCCTTGACTAGAAGAAGCATATACGACACAATGTGCCCGTACGGCCAGCTCTGTAAGGCTTCGAGGTAAGCAAAACTTCTCTCTACTTAGGCAAGAGGCCCGTGTTTGTTGATCCAAAGCTTATAAGTTCCCCAGGATGTTGTCAAAGACTTACTTTAGCTTTTAAACGCGCTCACCCTAGAAACAATTTTACGGCTCCACTGTTGGGAAGCTCAAAGAGTAACAGTCCTAAACCGCTAAATGTGCTGGGGAAATTAGCAAGCAAGACGTGCTAGAAGTTGCTTTGTTAAAACATTCGTTTTCAAAAGTTATTGTTGCATTTTACGAATTGTCTTTTACTGCGAAAGACCAATTTGTTAAAACTAAAAATAAATACTTAACCTTTTCGAGGTGGTAAGTACTCTATAATTGCTGCACATTTATGAAATTATTGTTAAATCAAGGTTTGTTAATAAAAAAAAAACAGCTAAAAAGGAATGCCCAAAAAGATTTAGAAGTGGTAAGATAATTGGAGCAAAACTTTTGTGGGGCTCGTCTTTAAGAAATTACAAAAATTAGGTCGAATATTAACCAGCTTAATTCTTTAGATAAAAGTTTCCAGCTCTTTTAACGGGAGCAGAAATTTGTATACTCTTATATTTATATGGCCACCCTAGAGGTGATGTTTAAAATATCTTATTAGTACTAAACTTAAGCAAAAAACTTGGTAAAATATATACGGAAATATGGAGAACGAGCCCAGTCAGTCGAGAGAGGGCAAATTCAACATTGTAGAAATTAAACTAACAAAAAAAATACAAAAAAAAAGTGCAAGAAGAAAAGGGGGTAATACTTGCCCTCACATATTTTATAATAAAAACAACTAGTAGTAGTTGGTAAGATACTGAAACTTAAGTCCTTCTAAAAATATTTTCGCAAGGAATAGTGTTGTCTTAAAGTAAAAAAATGAACCTTTTCATTATTCTTGACTTTCGCAGAACTCGATGTTTTAAATTGCAGACTGCTTAAGCAATACAACTAGTCTATCAACAATAGCAGCCGTAGCTGAGCTACCATAAGCTTCTTTCTTATGTTCCAACTTTATTCTGGCAATACTTTGATACTGCATTTTTTGTAGTCTATAGCTATATAAAACAAATTGTTTAAAATTCTGCGATACTGTGGCCTGGACCGCTGAAAAAAACTTGTAAAAACTAAAAACTAAGAATAAACTTCACTAAACAGTCTTGTTTAAAGTAACCAAGGAAATAACGCTGGAAAGGGCTTTTTTATTAAAAAATGCATTCACAAAGTGATTAGGACAACGAGGAAGAAAAAACAAAGTAGTTTTACTCATGACCGTCTAGACTAGTCTTTTCTAAATTTCCGGTGACGAATCCAAGATGAACAATCCTGTCACCCGCTGAGGCAGTTGGTAGCACACTTTTTCCAACGACTATGCAGTCTTCTCGGCAAACAAAGTGTTTAACGTGATCTCCAAAACAATCATAGATGGTAGCAAGACATTCGTCTTTTCTCACCTAAAAAACAGAATAAAACCTTAATATACGTCATTTTTTTTTACTTGCAAACCGCTATCAACCAGAGTTGACACTCTCAAAAACTTAATTAATTTACACAGGTTATATTTACTTTTATTAGCTACAAGCTCGTAAAATTTCAAGCTTCAAAAAAAAAACATTAGGCATTCAACTAGTAATAAACTCGATTGCAAATTAAATGCCTGAAAAATAAGTATTGCAATTGTAATAGTATGTGTGAAAATAGTCGATCGTAAAGGCATGCCTTTAACGTTGCAGCATAACTGCCTCAAAGATCTTAGATTTTTTCATTTTTTTTAAAGCAAAGTATTAATAATAAACATAACCAATCTCCTCGGTAATAACCAAAAACTTAAAACGTCGTGGGTTTACCCAAGTGCCGATCTCGCAGTGGACCACCAGAATGCCGCCAACATCAGTGTAAAACCAGCGTGAGTGAGAACAAAGCACCCACGTGGGTTTCGGCGGGCGTTCAATAGCTCGTAGCGGAAGCATGTTAAGAAAGATGAGAAGATTCTGAAACCCTTCGTAGGCTTTCTCAATCATCCCAATCTGCATAGAAAACAAAAATTTATAGTATGAGTATTACGAAGTACTTTAAACACAAGCAATAAACTTTTTTCGGTGAAAGGAAAACAAAGAGAAAAAGAAATATTTGTAAGCTTCCAATATTTACTGCACGTAAAATATATTAAATATATAAAATATAAAAATAAAAGGCTAAAGGTCTCAAAAGTGTGCGATGCAGTACACGAGAGTTCTCTTAATGAAATTATCCTCGTTCATAAAAAAATTTACTAACAACTAAAAAGTAGAAAAAAACTTAGCGCGTCGCTAAAGAAACTTTCCTGAAATTTACTGCAGTCGCCGATTTCCACGGTGATGGCGGGGATGTTGAGCTCCTGTGCGGCGCCTCGCAAACTGCCGCCGGGACTCGAGTTGTGCACCTCCATAGGCAAATATACTATTAATTAAACATAGCAAAGGGCCACAAACGTTAGATCTTTTTATTGCTTACACGATTATGTTTAACTAATTGCATCAAAAAAAACTCAATTACTAAACTCGACACTCTGCCAGTATACATAAGCTAGTACTCAATTTTTGTCTAAGCAACTGTCATTTTATTTATTAGTGAAATCAAAATAAGTAAACCTTAAATATATAACACCGCGCTCTTAGTTGATAGTATATTTACTATTACGTTTTATTAGATTCATTTGAATTAAAAATAATATTTATCAAGAGGAAATTATAATTCGTTATATAACTTCATTAAATGATAAAGTTAAAGTAAAGACAAATAAAGAGATTCACTATTATTGTTGGGTTCTGGAGATGTGCAAATCGCTTGCACATTCGGTCGTTCATATCGGCGCGGACATAGAGCGAATTGGCACGTCCATGTGAAGCCGTGTGGAGATCGACTAGATAATCCACGTGCTTCACTATTTTTTCTATAAAGCAGTGCGCGTACTGGAGGCTGCGATTACCTTCAATAAAATTAAGGCATCCGCTACTCCAACAAGGAAGAGTTTATAAGAGACCGGTGGGGTTTCCAGGGAAGCAACGGTTCAGGTCCGCATTATCCGAAAAGCCCCGTATGTTCTGAAGGTAACCGGGGCCTATGGTTCATTAAAAAATGTCTTAACAGCGGAGAAAAAGGATAAGAGGTTCGTTCGCGCTCCTATTCTTAACAGCTTGCTAACTTTTATCATATGGAGGAACCGTTAACTATGGGGATGGCCACGAGGTTTCCCACGAGATGTTGAGGGTCGATATCGTGGACCATCTTATGAACCACCGGAATCCCATTCAGCTCGTTTCCATGCAGACATGCTGTCACGCACATGGTCTGTCCAGCACACGCGCCTACGAATATCCCGTTAAAGGTAACATTAATAAAATTGATATTTACAATGATGAAACCTTTCGCAACAATCACAGGAACTTTTAACTTTCGGGTAAAAGCATCGTCATTCATAGTGACCCAAAAGCGATGAACCTGTACAGAATAGGAAAAAAATTATACATATATATTTTTAATAAAATCTTAATACAATACTGTAAAAAATGAAAGTAACCGTATTAATCTACTTATAAAATAATAATGAAAAAAAATTTGATGAGCGAATATAGGAACTTATAGAGTAAAAAAGTTTGAGACAATACAACGGGATGCAAAAGTAACGCTAGAGAACTATAGAAGCTAAGAATTATTAAATGCTGTTAAGTTTCGTTCATAGCAATTTACTGAAAGTTGTATAACTAACACGTGTGCACACAGATAGAGCGCTGCAAAGCTACTTGAGCGCGAGGAGAAAAACTCGCTCACTTCTGTTATCTATAAAAAGGCTTTTCCTTCACTAACTACTTCATAGATTATTACTGAGCCGGTTTAAGAAAAAAACATGCTTTTGAGGGTTGTAAATTTTCAATATCTAAAGAGTCTTTGGTGGTTCTTTTATCCTGAATGGGTTTCGAAAGATCAACAATAAACTGCGAGGGAGGCCTCCTTGAGGCAAGTGACAGCATTATCTCTTGACATGTCCTTAACGCAGCCTGTCGAAAATAGGTCAGCAAAAATCCATGGTAAATTATTTTTTTTAAAATCAGTAAGATATAGGGGAAAGAATACATACTAGTAGGTAAATATTATAAATTAATAAAAGTAAGGCTTATTAAGGAAGGACAAGATATAAACTTTTTAGGTAAACAACATTAATACTTCCACATCGCACTGTATGAAGGGCTGTTGGTCAAGAACTTCCTTAAAAAAGGAATCTCTTGTGAGTTCTGATGACCCAACTCTTTTATCCCATTTTTTTAAAATTTTAAAAAAAGCATCTTCTTGCAAGTGAGAGTAGTCAAATAAATCCTGAATTTTGAGACGCAACTCTTGTAAGTTAGCTTCTATTTGCTAAAAGAAAATACTAAACCAAAAAGATGGTTATATCAATGGCGCTTACTTTTTGACTTAAGTGTTGAAAGTCTTTCTTCAGATCCTCAGCAAGTAAAATTATTTGAAGTCTCTCCTCCTCAAATCTAACATAAAAAATTCCATTTATGTGAACTTGCAGAACAAATTCTAAAGAGAAAAACCGTTTATTTGCTTTTTTTGCTTCTTCTATAAGTTTTTCTTTAAAAGTTTTTGAGAGGCGACTGGGAAGCTTTCGTAGAATTTCTGGCGAGTGGGCTGCGGATTGAGATTCATTTTCGCTCATGGATAAGAATTCCATATGCTGTAAAAGACCGCCACCGATAACTCTATCTGGTAAATGAGCCTGAACCTACAGAAAAGATATAAAAAAAAACTCCATTCAATACTCAATAAAGTGATCTATTGACTTCTGTTACCGTTTAAGTAAAAAGTTCAATAGATGGCCTTTTTTAAATATAGCTAAGTTTAAGGTCAAGAAGGTTAATAAGATAAAAGGTGTAAGCTAGCAACCTGTGGAGTACCCAAGTCTGTAAATGAACCAGATGAAATTATAAAATCCTCTCTTTCAGTTTTTTCTTCATTTTCTAGAGGATGAACATAGTTCGCACAATATTTTAAATAACTCTATATTTATATCATAATTAATTACTAAAAACTAAAATATATGACCATAATAAACAATAGGCTGCTAGGTGAAAATAAAAGGTCATAATGAGTAAACCTTAAGGGAAGAGAGATCCACATAGCTACCAACAAAAGATTTGTCTCTTCTAAGGTACTGCTGCTTTCCAAACTTCATATTAAAAGGCAAAAGCAACACAATTGAGAGAACACCCACTATGCCCCTTCCTTCTAATATGTAACCCTTAAGTCCCCTTGCATTTTTGGTTGGGTCTCCCCATAACGCTGAAAAATAACTCTGCTCTTAAGTCTGAAATAGTTTGTCGTCTTTCTAATTACTAGTTTGTCTGGTGTTCCTACCCGCACCAAAAAGTATTTAAATTACTAGTTTAATTTTGGCTCTACTCTTTTCATAGCCATCGAATATTGTTTGCCAACTTTTAGGTTCTGCGAGCTAAACTAATATTTTGTAACAACCTTGCTTGTTCCCTTGCTCGTTCAATATAAAAAAGCTACATTTCTAGCTTCATCCTTACTATGTTCTTAGTTCTTAGTATTATAGCTTCTGTACCATAACAATAATATCATTATGCCTGTTTACCACTAATTGTTCATAATAAGCAACGAGCTCTACTCTAAACTTTTTATACTGCTAATTACAACCTGGCAGTGTGTTATTTAGAGATAAATTTATTAAAGCAATATTTGTCTATATTAATTAAAGGCAGATTAAAATTCGTGATATATACACTTTAAATGTGTCGAGTCTTATAAAAATAGATAACCCACTAGATATTTGAGTTATTTTGAAGTTTTGTAAAACACAAATGCTGCCGTTTTATTTAATTTATAAGCTTACCATTTCCACTTACCATACAACTGAGTAAAAAGTAAGTAGTAGCGTTTTTAAAATTTACCATTCTAAACTTAATTACAAGGTTATTTGCCTTTTTAGGACCAGACTTACTTCGTTTATAACAATTAAGGCTCCTTTGGTTTATCAGCACTACTGTAACAAATGAAAAAAGCCGTTCCACCTTCCCATCAGTTTAATGCTACCTTAAAATTTTCTGCTATATCTTTAGTAAACTGCTAATAATTACGTATTCCCTCAAGTCTTTATGGCATTCATAAGTAGAAATTTTTTACCCTTTAGTTCGTACGATACTTCCTCAGCACCTACAGTTAGAAATCTGCAGTTCAAAGCTTGATTTAAAAAGATTGTGGGCTTTAAATAAGTGTAGGTTGCTTATACCTATTTAACCAACGACGCTCTAAAGTGGCTTCACTAGCAAAGCAAAAAATATACATATAATTTATTAACCCATGACTATATTCCGAAAAATACACTACTCTTCCTACAGTATGCTTTTTACTTTAAATATTTTAAGAGTTCTATCAAAACCAGTTTTGTGTTTTTGAAATCATTAGTACTTTCTGTAAGACCCCTGTTCTCTACTAAAGAGGAGGTTCTGCAAACTCGTTAGGCGTTACGTAATCTTTATTCATCCAAACTTTCCAGTTAATGAAAGTGTAAAATATTTTTTTTAAGTTACGGGGAACTTCAGTAAGATATGAAAATGTTACTTTACATCATTCCGCTAGCAAACAAAATACTTGCCAGCAATTTTTAAGAAGAATTAAAAGAAGTTAATAACAGAAAAAAAATCTATTATAGCAAGAATAAAAGGCCAAAGTACACGCTCCATGCGCACTGCTAGCAACGTGGTACACTTAAATAAAGGGCTTCTGCGTTAAATTCTTGAAAATTTTTTCCATTTCAATTATTTGCAACAGAGAAGGTTCGGTTAGGGAAGGCGACCCTTACAAAAGACAAAAGATTCTTTTTAATGTATTTTTAAATAAAAGACAACTACCTTTCTTCGATTAACTTCATGACCTCCTCGCAATTCTCAAAACTTTTTAATACTTCAGCCACGTTGGCAGCAAGCAAACTTGTCAAAACCGTAAAAGTATTGCCAAGAGAATGGAGATCTTTTAGTATTTCTGCATGATAAACTGTTGGAAAAGCCCCCCTCCGCCTGCTTTTAAATATATGTTACTTTGGCATTTTGCTTCGTTAAAGTGCCGAAAAAACTCTGTTGAGCTCCTACTGGTAGCAGTTAACAAGTGTTCCTCGTCCTTGAAGTAGATTCCTTTATATTAAAAAGAAGGTTACCACGTTTATTTTAAAGTAGAACATCAGCAAATGCTAAGGAGCACTAAAATACCGTTTTTAGCGCACTCCAGAGCGTAACCACAAAGTAGCAAAGCACCCTGAAAGAAATAGTTATTCAAAAGCTCTCTAATTGTAAAGAGCGTTTAAAAATACGCAAGCAGGTCCCTGTAAACTTGAGTGCAACTTTTTATCAAGCGAGCGGACATGAGTCATGCGTTCGCAGGAGAAGTGCTCCAAACAGTCCAGGCAGGCACCAGCACTAAAGGGGAGCCGCAAGAAGCGTTCCAGCTCGCGTAGTTTCAGGCCAGTATCCCACCGAAGAAGGGCTGCGAGGCTTTCCCCCAAAAAGGGCAATTTCTCGCAAACGGTGTGAACTACCGGGAAAACCTCAAACTCTAGATTCTTCAGTGAGCGGATCCCAAAAAGTTGCCTCGCCAAGTTAAAGGCAGCAGCCTAGTTTTATTGGTTTTTACAAGGGATAAAAGGCGACTATATAAACAGCACCAGATCAACTGATCCGCTGGAAAAGATTTCCTTATTTTTAAAAAAAGTCAGTTTATATTCATCAAAGTGAATAATTTGCGAGTGGTATTCCGAAGATTTTTTTTGACAGAAGTCGCGCAAAACCTCTTGACACTTCGCTTTAATTTCCGCTTCCATTAAAGAGAGACTTAATATAAAGCATTAACCAAAGACTAGTGAAAAGTAAAGTTCCGTAAAAGGTAGCCTACTTGTGCTCAGATTGCGCAGCCTCACAAGGTTTCTGGAAGTTCTTACCAAAAGTCTCCGCAAAAAACTTTATTTCGGCTTCCATTTTCCGGATAACGTCAATCTTCCCGAGAAAGGCGGCGTTAAGGGTCTCCATGCGTAATTCGCTAGTAAGACAAGTGCATGATAGAAGACGGTCGCTCCTACCTGAACAAATTGGGAGAAACTCTGAGATTTTTCATGCTTTGAAAGATGTGTATCCCTATACAATAATATACAAGTAACTTAATAACACTTCACTGAATTTTTATAAATAAAACTTTGTAAAGCACAGGCGCTTTTTCTCATCCCTTAAATAATACGAATCTTTTCGAGAAAGTTCGGTCAAGGTATGGCAGAGGACAGACCAAGACGAGATCCTCTTAAGATCCTGAACGGTGCTGAGAATTAAACTAAACTACGCAAGCTATTAAAAGTTATAAAAGTTCAGCGCATTTTACTTAAAAAAGCATTTGCAAAAATTATTAAAGGAACTATAAAGAAATAAATGTTATACAAGCTAATATAAGATTTACATAAAGTTGCTCAGCAAAAGAATGTGTGTTCCAAATATTTTCCCCTTGCAAGTGAAAATGTCTTAAAAAAATAACTTTTGTAAATAAAGATCTAAAAATAAAAAATACTTTTCAAACAAAGATGTCAGTAAAAGTAAGGAATTCTGAATAATTTTCTATAGTGAATCAAGGATCAAGTTATAATTATCCAAAAACGTGATATTATAATAAAACATTTGAGGCTCCCTTATTTTCGGCACTAAAATTCTTTGACAAGCTTTAGTTACAACGTTAGTTATTAAAAAAAATATATATTCATGTTTACTCATATAAACATACAAAAATAAGTTATTCAAAGTTTCAAAGGAGTTAATTCTAGAGCAAATAAACTGGGTGCGTCCAAGTACCGACTTGGTAACGTTATCTAAAACAGATTTCTTTTTTTTCAAGTCTTCGCAAAAGCAGAGTAATCTCTCATATTCATCAACTAAAGGAATACAGTTTACAATAATATATAGTTAACCCGCTAGTAAACTAGTATATATAGTACGCTTTTCTTGAAATTTCTTCTGTAGTTGATTTAATTCAAGCCTGAGTGAAAATATTTTATCTTCCATATCCCTAACTTTAGAAGGCTAACGCATGAAAAAAAAAAAGGAAGACACTTAAGTGCTTTCAATAGTAAACAAAAATATATCTCACGTTCGTAGGAATAATATCTTGAAAATGTTGGTCAACGTGGTTCGTTCTAACAGAAGCTGTAAGCAACTTCGATTTCAAACTAAGTGTAGTTTCAGTAAAAATAATGTCAGTAGATAATTAGAAAAAAAAGACCCACCTGGACGGAGATATTCGCCTAGACAAGTGATCCCAGACTGGAATCATATTTCCCTTATAAACGCTAACATAATATAGTGAACACAAAGATTACTTTGCAAAGAGGGAATTGAGACTGAGTCAAAAATAGTAAAAAATATACCTTTGAAGTAAAGCTTGAGAGGTCGGTAATGGTTCTGATACGAATGCTCCCTGAGGAAGATATTCTATACTTTGCAACCATTTCGTAATATTTTCAACTTTCTCATTCATAATTTTAAGTCACAGTAAACTATCAAGGAATTTTAAATTAAAGCGACTCGTGAAATATAGGGTAGAGGTAGACACTAAGAGAAGACCTTTAAAATGAGGGATTTATTGGTAAAAAGCTTTTGTTCTTCGGTAAAAATGCTAATTTCGAGGCATAATTACTGTTTACTATCAATTTCTTGTAATATATCTTGTTTTACCCAAAAGTTATACCTTACGTGAGCTCGGAAGGGGAAGGAGAGGTTAAATATTAAAACATTTGTCACCGCATCAAAAATTTTGAATGTAAACATGAATATATCAAAATCAAAAAATATTGGTCATCATATAAACAATTTTTTTAATGTTTTATACACAAATGATAATATTTATTAGTAGTCGCAACATTTTTTCTTATAGGGTTTAAAATCAATTCGAAACAATGAGCAGGAGGCCACTTTTTCTTTGGAGTAATTTACAATATCTCAGCTACCCAGCACCATCTTTTACTACAATTTTGTTTCTCTGTAATGCGGAAGCGCGTCAGTTAATGTACATATTTCTTTTCAGTATGTTCGCTTTTTCCTCGATTTAAGATTTCATTGCTTTCAGTCATTATTTCACTTTGAATAGTTACATTTTCGTATTGACTCCCTTTTTTGTTTTTATTATTACCTTTTTCTTGACTTTTTACCTTTTAATTTTATTCCCTTTATAGACATAATCCTATTTGTTTTATATTTGTCGATCTCTATCAGTCAATAACAGTATAACCTTCTTTTCCGCTTAGTAATAGTTGTATACCAAGTTGACAACATTCCGAGATTGACTAGTAAGAAGTGACATACTTAATTTAGTACGTTTAGCACTGAATCTGAATTTGGTAGGAACAATTTAGTTAGCGTATATGAAATAATTTTTTCTTTTTGTGAAGGGTATAACAACAGGTCGAAAACCGGCCAGTAAATTGGCTCCTTGTTATTCGTGTATACTCTTATGTAATTTAATATATACCTGCTTCATAGACATACATTATTTGTCTTACAGAAATTCTGACACTTTATATATATTTATATTATTTTTTAACCAATATTTATTTTTTGTATATTCACTTTCATATTCATAAAATTCTCATATAAATTCCAAAACAGGTGATTTAAAGTAAAGTATTAAAAAGCGAAAAAAAGAGTTAGCAACTGTTACTTTATAAATTACACATCTCTACAAAAATAAATTAGCTATGTGTGTGGTTTTATATAGACTCGAATTCCTTTGTCAAATGTTTTAGATTCGTCGTTATTGATGTGCTTTTTGTATTTTCGTTGTTTGTTTATTTAATAGTTGTACTTTGTATGTAAATTTAATGTTTAATTACGATATATTTTGGAGAATAAACCTTTTCGTTATTTAGTTGATTTTGAGAGACATTTTTAGTCTAACATAGTTAACTATGTACAATTATTTTTTATAACATACATATCTGTTCATGAGTGTATTCGTTCTAATAATGCTTTTTTTACGGTTGGTTTGGTTTTTATTGTATTTTCTTATCATAAAGCATAAGTTGCAGCCTATTTACAAATTAGAAAATGTCGAACTTGTTTGCCCTTACAGCGGATTAAATTGCACCCAACTGTAGGGCGTGCTCTATACGGTTATTTTCAACTGGTTTTGTTGGTTAACTCAAATAAATTACTTCTTACAACACGTGCTATAGCACGTGTTGTAAGTACTTTTTCTTTTCTTCTCTTTCTCCCACAAATTAAGAGGTCCTAGTTCTACCAATTAAGTCATCATAGTTATAAAAAAATTTTAAAAATTATAATAGTTATAATAATAATATAATTAAATATAAAATAATAATAATACTAGTAATGAGATTAAAAGCATTTATTGTTATAAAAGTTGCTGATTATAATTATAACCTGAATGAATGTCGGATAAGCCGAAATAGAATTTATAGAAAGTAACAAACTAAAGAATTATGAATGCTATCGGGATTTTAAAGCTCAAATTTAATCTTATAGAGGAAGGAAATCCGGAAGTCCTTCATATCCCTAATTTACTAATAAAAGAAAAAGAAATTGGCATATGCGTTGTATGCAATTATAAGTACTATTGACAAAAGCTTGTTTATTATAGTAAGGTAAATAACGAAAGAAAAAGTGAGTAAAATCGAAAACAGTTGTGATAGTTAACAAAGTTAATTTATTGTGGGACGCAATTGAATCTGCCTTTAACTTTTAGTTGTCCGCAACGAAATTGGCGCTATATTAAAATGAAACCAGAGGAAAGTAGCCCAGATATTTTAGATAGATTTTACCCTTTGATTAACCACTTAGAAGTTCACGCAATTGGTTACTAATAGATTGACCCATTCTTAATAGGCCTTCACGAAAGTAACTTTGAACCTTAAAAAAAACAGTGTAGCAGAAGTGCAGTTTGGGTAAAAACCTAAACATCAAAGCTCTTATCAAACTTTGCAGAGGCTTGACAATCCATTAGTAGGTTAGAAGCCATAAACTTAGACATGAGGGGAATTTAATAAAGGTCACATTTTTCAAAGTCAAGAAAAAGGTCTATAATAAAACTAGGGATAACCAAAAGTAGGACTATTCAACTCAAGCAAGCTATAACCACGAATTTAATAGAACAGTTCCAAAGAGGCGGAAAACCAGGTCATTAAAAGAACCTGTGATTTTTACAGAGAATAAAAGTTATAATTTTTTTTTTCTGGGAATTTTGGTCTTTATAAAAAACAACCCATGACTAAGAATCCTAACCACCCATACCACAGTTATAAGTGCACTACACTAAGAGACTATCATCTAAAACCAAGCAAGTTCTTTGTCTTGGTGCCCTATGATCCAGAAATAATTATTCGTTACCACCTATATACGACGCGATATTAAATTCTGATTCTGGAGCAAATTGTCATATATTTCGGGACACGCAGTTGCTTTAAAACATTATACTTACTAAGAGTAAAAAGCCTAAAAAATAACATCAAGGATATGCACTGTTTGCGTTCGAACGCTTAAATAGCGTTAGTGTTAAAAAAATTTGCGATACCGGAAAAATAACCTTATATAATAAGAAAAGTACAGGGTAGTTCAACACGCCTACGAACTATCAGACTATTTACCAAACTTGCAAACTAATATAATCGCTAAACGAGACAACGCTGAGTATAGATGTCGCCACCGAATTTGCGAATCTAGCCATATCTAAGATGTAGTGGCACGAAATTTTAGGCCACTAGGGCTCAAGTAAACTCTAATGTTCTCAAAGGAACAAACGTAAAGTGTGATAACATTCATGAGTACTTTAAATTTAGTACTTGCTTAAATACTCAAACCTGAGCATAAGTGAAGGACTAGAAGTGACAAACACGGCCCATACCCTTCTTCGCTTAGTGTATCAAAATGAACTTTAACCATCGCGTATAAACGGACTCCATTCATCTAGGTTCTCTTCGTAGAAGGTAAAGCCGAGACCTAAGTTATAAAGGGTAATTTCTTAGCCCGCATCTTAGGAACCATTCCGACTTAAGAATGTCTATAGTAACAATGGTGGGGAGTTTACGTCAAAGAATTAGCTTTAAAAGTCTAAGATGAGATGACTTGATACTACTTATAAAGCACCTCGCACAATCCCATGGCAGGGAGGTTTAATAGATTATTGCACTGACACTCTCTGCTCTCATGACCGAAGTATTCAGTACAAAAAACTATATATTTTTTAATCTATTAATTTCACTAGCTAACGACGCTTCTTAACGTAAGAAGCAGGTCATCCCTCAACCATTCGATAGAATAAAAAGGTCTCTCGAGCTGCGCCATTGCATAGCTTATATACATAATTTTACTACTCAGCTCTCACTAAGTTATATACACTTACTAACTACATTTATGACAAGGTTGCTGCTGAAAGGAACGGCTAACCGATTAATTTTAAATTCGCGTGCGTGGAAATATTTTATGTTGTAGCTCCAAACTTAAACGAATTATAAATATTTATATCTACCGTGTACTTTTATAATTTTTAGCAAGGTAAACTTTTAAATGGCATCAAAGGAATTCTGTTAGAACCAACTCCAAACACTTGTAAAACTTCTAAAATTTATTACTTATTTAACAGATGGCTAGTCACCAACAGAAATTTTAGGGGGGTGGATGAGAGTCCTAAAGAAACCCTTAACCAAGGGATAGAGACATATAAACCGAATTTGACAGTACGTAGATAAGCTAAAAAGAAGGCTAAGACTTGGAAGCAATCGATGAAGTGAGGCCTAGAGTAACAAAGAGAATGACGATAACGAGGGCTTTAAAGTGGCATCATAGAAGAACTAATGACAGAAGAGACGATTATTATTTACCTGATAACAAAGGCACCTTTATTATAAATCAACAGATTGAAGTAGAACTTAAGGTAAAGGGGTAACAAAAGTAATAAAAGCACCAACATTAAAGTCTAAGAAAATGTTTCGTGTAACTTTCATGACGAAATAAAAATGAACCACATTAGAGATAAAGCCATGAAACTAATCGCAATGTCAGTATACACAAACACCTGCATCAATTCAAGCAATATTTTGGCAGCATTAAAAAACAAAGATTGGTGCGCTTTAAAGAGAAGGGCGGTTGAAAGATAATATCATAAGAGGGAGCGATTTAAAAGACACTACTTGGGCTTTTAAAATTAAGGATGATAAAAATTATTGAGCGAGAATATGTTTTAAAAGCTTTAACCAGATACAGGGTTCAGGTTAATTCGAATCAATAAGTCTAGTGCTATCCAAGGAAGCTATTAAACTGCTTATCGTCCCAGCGCATTATCATAACCTTAAGCAACTTCATTTTAATTTTAAGAACACCTATGCTATCGCAGACAAGGATGTAACTTAGCTATTAAAATACCTTTGGGCTTTCATTGAATACATAACGATAATACATAGAGCAATGCTTATTACTAACTAAGGCATTTTACATGATAATATAAAAATTTAAGCCGATACAAAACAAACAAAAACTCTACTAAAAATAAAATTTGCCAAATATAGAATTCTACATTAAGCAAGGTTATTGGATGAGAAAAATTAATTTTTGTAAAAATAATTTCAATAAAATAATTACAAAAACAAGGAAGCTCATTGGCCAAGATCTTGATTTTCATTGGTTGACAGTTCTGAAATTTAGTATACAAAGAGAGGAGTAACTAACCAATAATTGACCTCTTTAGTAATCCTTCTTTATATAATATTATTAGAACGGGACAATAAAGCTGGAAAACTCTGCATCGATCTCGTGAAGGGAAAATTAAAACCAGTGGATTTAAACAACCTGTTATTAAACCACCTCTCTTGAATAAAGGTTTTTTTAGCAGAATTTCTTTTTATTGCACAAGTTTACTCACTGTATCTATACCTTTACAAAAGGTCATAAAATCATTTTCATGTTTTTGTAAAATTAATATATTTTTACAATATTAATATTTATAATTTATTTAATTTGTATCAAATAAAAAAAATGGGACCAAGTTATTGCTTTCGCGTCTGTAGAAATACTTTTTCTCGTTCTGTTTTTTTTATTGGTTAAAGTATTGGTTACTGATTGGTTTATTAAAGGATCATTTTGTCTGCGAAAAAATTTGAGAAGTTTCTGTTTTCTTTTGTTTCATTTTTGTAATTTTTGTATTTTCGGTGGTCTTTCAATTTATGTTTATTAGAGTCTATACTTTATGAACATCTTTTCTTTATAAACAAATAAGTAATTTTGTCTATTTTTTGCTGTATAATAGTTGTGGCTCAGAAAAAGAGAAAAGGCTCAATTCTTAGGTCTCTGAGCTACTCTAGTTCAGTGATATAAATAGTCCTCAATAACTTAACCATCATAAGGGTATGCGGGAGAGTCGAACTTGTGTACCTCATAACAGATTAATCGCACCCATCTGTAGGGCGTCCTTTAAAGGTTGCAGTTAATCTAGGCGATAAACTGTGGTTAAATATTTTTATCCAGTAATTACAAAATTTATAAATATAATTACATTTTATTATTATTTTCGTTAATATAATTATTATTCTTATTAGAAGTGGGGTGGTATTACTACTAGAATTGAGTTTGACCGCGAAATTGGGTAAATTTAGCAATTATACAGGTCTTTTTCTTTGGCGTACTCAGAGGGGGTTTACTTTCTAATTTTAATCATTTACAATAATAATATAAGTTTACAGAGTCTCGGTACAGTACTATGTTTCTTGTAAACCACGAAGCGTAGGACATAGTTATAGAAAACCAGTTGGTAGAAATTTGGAGTCTATTAAGGAGAAGCGTAAATTAAATCAGAATACACATATGTGAGGATAAGCCTTAACATGCGTTTACAGAGAGGAAGATAATTATTAAGATACAACTTGCTCATTATTTCATACAAAGGTGTAGAATATTATTAATTGTGATTTTATAACTACTATTTCAAAATATAACGGTTAAATAACTTTTTTGTTCAACGAACCGGTATGAATACTCGATATAATAAGCGAGGTTAAACAATGAAAAGTTTTTAACAACGGAAAAGAAATTTTAAGCACTCCATCTCTAGCTTAAAAGCCCACAAGTTAGGTATATAAAAATTTTTATTTGTTTTCAAGATAATTTTTCTAAGTTAAACTACTGAGTTTCTATCAATAAAAAACCATTGAACTTTTATTCACGCGGTTATTTAAAGTACTACCACGTTTCAACTCGCACAAAGGCGACGGATGCGCCGAGTTCACTAACCAAATATGCTTGTACCCTTTCACGTTAACAGTAGTTTGAGGCTTTCAACATGTTAGGCCCTTATGGTAGTTTATAGTAGGTCTCCAATATAGGCAAACGGTAGAAAACCGGTTTCTATATTTTTCACCGCCTGTTCCTTCGTTCTTGAGAGTACATTTGGGCTCCAAATCCTTTTGAGGAGGGGAATACAAAAATTAAGCGGTTTAAAATTTTTTCAAAGACCGACCTATGATTCAGCGTTAATTAAACTAAGTTTCCTGTTGTGCCTCTTGCCCCAGTGCTAAATATCAAAAAGCCATTTACTTTTATTTGTTTATTATTTATTTAACATATTACTCAAGACCTAAAGACCAGAGCTTTAGAGAGATTACTATCGCTACTTTATTTCAAGTGACCGGCCACCAAAAGACGAGACGCTAACCACGTAATAATAAGTATACATCATCGTTCAAAATTGTTATGTTTTTTAATTTTCATCAAAATTATTTAACACTTTAATTAATAATAGGTTGTATTGATCCCTTATATATATATATATATAGGTTTAGATTGAGATTTCTTTAATGTAGTTTATATCAGAGGAATCGCTTTATTACTTAAATCTTCATCGCTTTTTAAAGCTAAAGTACGATTGGAACGATTTGCACGTGACCCCACTACGTGCAAAATTGTGTCAATCTTTATTCCAAATTTTTATAATCATTCCGTCATAGGGGTTTTTTTAAAAGCGTTTGAGTGACTATAAAGGATAGCTTATTAAGAGTTCTCAAATTTAATAATGCGTAAACTTTCAATCGATTAAGAAATGATGTCGGCTGTCTTTTAGATCAAGACAAGCCTTATACTGAGATCGCTTGTGAATGTGGAGCCAGTAAGGCCACAATATCCGGGGTCAAAGCTCAATATGATCCAAATTGTCCTTACAATGAACCTGGGCATCCAAAGGATCTTAAAAAACCGGGATGTAGCTCGACTTGTATGACAAGTGACATTGGGTTCAACTGAATCTGCACAGAAAGCTTTAAAAATCAGAAAAAACACTAGATAGACCAGTTTCAAGATCGGCCGTATCGAGAGCATTGCGTCCTGCTGTCCTCATGCAATAAAAAAAAGTTAATTAAACCCACTTTGACAGATCATCACAAGCGACTAAGATTTGCTTTTGCGAAGAAATCGAAAATTGGTCCAGTTCTGAGTGAGAAAAAGTAATTTTTTCGGACGAGACCAAGATCGATCGATATGGTTCAGATGGTATATTAGGTGGTGTTGGAAGCGGTCCGGCGACAGTCGAATACCTTGGTCACCAGTGGTGCAACCCTTAAACAATGGGGAGGATATATTATGATTTGGTCCTGTATAACACCTAAGGGGGTCGGTATTTAAATAAGTGACAGGAAGCCTCACCGCAAGCGCGTATATAGAAACATTACTAAGAATGACCCCCCAGAACATGCGATATTGGTACGACCTTAGTCTTGGTGAAATGACTCTTTAGCAGGATAATACCCCATTTTCACACTGCACTATCGGTGCGATTATGACTCCAATTACAGTCGTCCTAGTGCTAGATCTCCTGATCTCACTACCATTGAGCATGCACGGGGTATCTTGGAGAGAAAATTGAGATCAAATGAAATGAATCAGCTCCTGCTGCCTTGGACAAGTTTTGCACACGTGCACTATCAGAATGGCAAAATATAACACCCGATCAATGCTATAATCCAATTGCCAGTATGCAAAGAGGATACAAGCAGTGATTCTGGCTGAAGGGAGCTAAACTAATTACTAAAAACTCGTTTGTTAAATTAAATTTTTTCTAAGTGCAAATTGGTTTCTATAATCTTTCAACTTTACAGGCTCATATCTTTTTGGATATTAAACCAATTTAATATCGAGTGTTAACAACATGTAGCTAGAACATAGGAGTTTACTGTGTATAAATTTTAAAGTCATTCATTACTTTTTTAAAAATTTATTCCTAACTAAATGAAAAAATGCAAAACATTGAAATAATTTTGCACGATAGTGTATATATTCAGTTGGGGTATACACCACATCTAATGTCCACCCGAAGTAAAGGTTACAAACTCTCAAGGGGGGTAACTAACGCTCCCATCCAGTGATATTGTTAAGTGCCAAAACCTGCTTAGAGTTAATGGTGAGCGTTAAGTATAAGCTTTCTTCAAAAGCTCTTAAAAAGATAACCTTTCACGGGCTTAAATATCCTTCGAACAGAATTCTGGGCGTTTTACTTTGTAACGGATCTTGTGACGATCACGACCTACTTGTTTTGCTCCTTTCTTATACCCTCTTTCTACATAAAATTTTAAACCGCTTAAACGTTAACTAACTACTTTAGATTGTCGACGCAATACCTCTCTTTCACTCATGGCCTTCTCCATTATTACTAGAAGCAGCTTTGAGTCAAGTTTGTATATTTTGTATTGAGGCACTGGGACAGTGTTGATTTCAAGTTTATCCCTTTTTACCTTTTATAAGGTTGAGTCCTTTTCCAAAAAATATAAATTACTTATTGCCGGATATTATGAAGGACTTGACACGATAAGTGTAATTATATATTATTTTATCTTTTTTCAATCTTACTTATTTTATATATTTTTCATTCATCTTTAGAGCGATTTGCAGCCTTCGTCTCTTGGACTGTTGCTTGCTTCCAAACTAGCTGAATTTTGTTTAAATTCTTGTATTTTATTAGTAATTTCCTTTTTTTCTCGCATTTTTCCCCAACTTTTATGATACTCACTTATCTATAGTACTAATTTTGACAACCAAAAAAAAAAACAATTGATATTAAAATTCTAGATAGACGAATTGTCTTTTGTTGAACGGTATCAATTCGCGTTTAAACTTTTATTGAGAGAAAAGGGGAACTGGATTACTCAAGATGAAGATAGGTAGAATATACTTGTTTTATTTTACTTAGTAAGTAATTTTGATTCTTCAGCTTGTTAATTGAAAAGCTAACTTCTATAGAAAAAGAGTTTGCGGAAACGAGATATAGAAGCCTTTACGACTTCGAGGACCATTTAAAAAATCCTTCCCTCAATTGGCTCGCTTCTTACTAATATGTTTTTTGTAAAGCAAAAGGCTATTAATAACCTGTTTAAGCATAGTTACTTTTGCTTAGAAAAGGAGTATAAACTTTTTGTTGCGTTTATTATACCACTATTGTACAGTGCTTTTTTTTTATTTTTATAGAAGTAGTCAAACCGGCTGCTTATTTATATCTCTATAGCTACAAAGGATGGTTAAACCAATAAGGCTGGTGGCCCAAATTAGTACAAGTGACTTCCTCTTTTTGTAGTTGTTAGTTCAATCGTAACAAGAATTATTGAAGACGAAAATGGAATTTATACTTTTATCAAAATAACCATAAACCTGTATGGAATTGCCAAAGAGTGTTATATCCGCATGTTATTAAAAGTCGCTCGTAGACTCTGGAGGCGGGCGCCACCAGCGCAACGAACTAGTTAAAGTTTGACAGAGTGCGTCGTTAACGGGCTTTAGCAAGGACTATTTAGTATGAACGTGAACTTTCTTTCCACACATAAAGCAAACACTTCGATGCTAAACGGTAGCCAGCTAAGTAGCAAGTAAAATTAAAGCTTAGAAACGGATTAAGGAAAGCCAACGAATGATATTTTTTTATTAACAATAACTCACAAGCAGCCTTCAAAATTCAAATAAGATTATTGTAAACGTCACTTACTTCTAAAATAACCAATTGAGAGTCCGTAGCTAAAACCTTATAATGAGAAAAAAGTAATGCGCTTTAGTCGCGCAAGCGAAAAAAATTACAAGCTCCGAGTTTAGCAAGTCCAGAGAATTAATAGGCAAAACGGATTTATACAGAAGATTGGTCTAGAATATCAGTATATACGTCGTAGGAACTCAATGAAAACTAGCAGTGACTGTACAACCTGCGCGCCGCTCGAGTGCGAGTAGGTCAAGTGATGCACGTTGTTTCCAGTGGCATAGAATAACTTCGTGTCAACGCCGTCAAAAAGGAGAGCAGAAACTAAAATAGTAAGATGGCCTGCTAGTCATTGCATTAACCAAGCAGAAAGCAAAAGAGCTTACCACTCCACTAGATTGCACAGAAAAAATAGGTCTTTTAAAATTGCGGACATCAATAACAATAAGGTTTCCTATAAAATTATATATATATAAATTGCCATAAATAAAGCTTTGATAGTGCGTAGATAAGCGTGTCATAAACGAATTCAAGTGCTACTGGAGAAGTTAAAAAAAAAGTACCGTTTTCCGTGCCAACTGATATTACGTTTTTATTATAAGCGTTGACCGCTATGCAGTTGGCAACATTCGCAAAACCTCTATTAGAAATAAAAAGACGATTAACGGAGTGCGTTGAGGTAAACTACTATTGTTTGGACTAAAGACCAAAAACACCGCTAACTTTAGGCAAAAAATAAATTCGTTGATTCTTCAAGATGAAGCTTCCGGGCCGCCGAAAAAATCTTAACACTAAACCTTTTCGTCTAAAAATGAACTTTTTACTTTAAATTTTTTTTAAATCGGTGCAAGACTCAAAATTACCAAATTAGTAATAGACTAGTAGAATATTATTTTAAAACTAGTAAAAAAGAACAAAAACGACGGTATAGCAATAAACTGCAGAATTTCTTCCATATAACTTCTAAAAAAAGGAGAGACCCGAATAAATAAGTGACTGCAATAAAAAAGGAAACCCGATCAATTAAAAAAACAAAAAATTTCATTTTACAATGGAAATAATAGCAAAGCTGTCTTATTGGTTCGTACATCAAATAACCGAATTTCTACGCTTGAGGAAGTTGATGCAAAATCTGTAGTATTATGTTTATATATAATGGAAACCAAGACGTGGCAAAAAACAAATACTCCGACTCACCGAAACCATTTTGATTAATAAAGCAAAGATCCCTAATTTCTTCCGACTGTGAATTTTCTTTATTACTCCAAACTAACTTGTGTAGTTCTAAACACAATAAATGCGTATATGAGCGCTATTATAAAAAAACAACATAACTATAAAGCCACGTAACAGAAACAATCAATAGTAAAGTGGAAGAAGAAGAGTATAACAAGAGATAAAGAGAAAGTACCCGAATCGTAAGCGCATACGTAGCCATCCCCACCCCCGCTTATGCTTAGGTGTTGAGAAATCTTTGCACAAGTGCAACCCAATTCATGTTTCTTATATAGATTCAAGAAAAAAAAGGGGATGTTTAAATAAAGAGAGTTCTCCAAGAAAAGTAAAAATTTTTAAACAAAACATTTAAATAAAAAAGCAAATATAGTTTAAAATAAGTTATATACAAAGTTAGCTGGCTGCGACGTAATTAAAGCCGAGGCGACGTCCGCCTTTACAACCGTTTTGTGAAAGCGAAGATATCCATCCGAACAAGCAGAAACTGATAAGGTCTCAGTCTAAAAAAAGTTAAGTCATGTAAGAAATAAATAATTGAATATAAGACAACTCCTACAGCATCTACTTGGAAAATCTCCGAGTCCAAGTTCCCCTTGGCATAAATACTCAGATAGGGGGGTGATTTTTTTATAGATACATCTTTTCGCCAGATGGCAATCTCCGTTTTCTATTAAAAGTAAGGTGATTAACTAAAAAACTTCTTTTATTTATTTAAATCCACCTCTGAATCCCAAGTCCCAGAAGCAAGATAACCAGTATTTATCCACTTGACAGTAGAAAATTTATAACCCTGGCTCGTAACCAAAATATTATTTATCTTCTTATTATCTAAACGCAAGGACATAGCTCAAGTGATAAGATTTTCAAACTAAAAATTGTTTTTTTAAAATTTTCAAGTAGATATTTAAACCAGGCGGCCAAGCGAATTTGATTTATAGATAAACAAAAATGTTCGGTTCGGCTCTTACCTACACAACCTTTAATCTGAGT